TAGTCTTCTTAAAAATAATGACCAACTTTTGAAGTAGATGTTAGATGCTTCTTCAGCCCTCCTGGGGTTGGTCAGTGGTATTAATATGGTCCCCAGGTGTCAACAAATATTTGCAAGTTACACTAACTTTAAAAAGAAATGAAAATTCTTTACTTAATTTTTAAATTAAATATGTACTTTTAAAGCTCTTTGCTGCCAAGAGTTTATTGCAAAATAAAAAAGCATTCTCAAACAATAAAATAAATAAATAGTTGTAAATTTGTACCATATAAAATCACTATGAGCAAGAACATTCAGAATCTGGCAGTACCACTTATTCTGTTTCCTATTCATATTTCATGGACATGTAACTGTAACCTCTAATTTATCATCAACCCCATAAGCTTTTAGCACAGGATTTTGTGCATCTCACAGACTATAGCATAAACCAGCGATTTTCGACTAGTGTGCCACAAGAATTTTTGAAACATATACTACTTGACTATTTAATCAGGGACACTGATCTCCTTTCCCTTAGACTATCAAATAAAAAAATTATGACAGCGAACACAACTATAGCTGTCCTGTGTGAATGAATCAAAGTTATACCTTTTCTTTTTGTCAGATTGGCCAAAATATAATATAATTTTGGGTATGCTGCAGAATTTTAGCCCTTAGTTTATGTGTGCCATGATACGAAACAGGTTGAAAATCACTGGCATAGACTGTGGCACAGCTGGTCGGCTCATTCCCCCAGCGACCAGTAGGGGTAACGGTGCGGAATACTTTTTCCCTGACCAAATGTGAAAACACTTCGCATTTTTTTTTTATCCTCACCTGAGGACATTTTTTTTCTTTGCTTTTAGAGAGAGGAAGGGGGAGAGAGACAGACAGGCAGGCACACATCTGTGTGAGAAACATTGGCTGCCTTCTGATTGTGCCCTGACTGGGGATCCAACCTGCAACCTTTCAGTCTGTAGGACAATGCTTCAACCAACTGAGCTACAATGGCCAGGGCCTTTGCATTTTGTTTTCTCATTAAACACCTTATAAATGGCTGGGAAAAAAGATATGCATTAATGCTGTTTTTCTGGTGGACTTAATTGGTAGAGTGAGAATTCTCTTCAGTGCTACCAGACAAGCATGGGAAAAAGGTATAAGTACAAAGTGAAAGTCTTCCAGACCCATCCTGGTTACTTTAATAATTATTAATATAACTCCATTAAGAAAGCAAAAATCAGGATAAATGGTAAACCAGATGTACCATGAGAACAACAGGCATAAATTAGGACTGCCCCAGACAAACCAGGATGTATCATCACCTTACAACTAATTGTATTAATTAGGGTTTTCTAGATATAAGCAACAAACAGAAACCAACCCATAAACTAAGACAAAAAGACAATTTAGTGGAGATTTTTGCGGGGTGGAGTGTAGAATGGAAGGCTAAAGAGCCAGGCTTGGAGAAAGATAGTAGCGAGAACTCCTTGTCAGGTTTGTCAGGGCACCACGCTGAAATGTGCCCCGACCATCCTTTGCATTTGTACTGCTCTGTACTGCTCAAAGTGGGGAGGGGAGAGGAGGGGTGGGGAGAGTAGGAGAGGGGAGGGGAGAGAGAAAATTTCAGCTGGTCTAACTGTGGTACTGTGCCCACCCCTTGGCTAGAGGAAGGCAGGGTGCTGGGATACACTCATCTACCTGGCCCACAGAGAAGTGATTCCCCCAAAGGAAATCAAGGTGCTAAACTAAAAGAGGAAGAAATAGGAGCTGGGCAGTCTAAAACCAGATGTCTACCATACTTGTTATATTCTTTCGTCTGACCTATGGTTTTTTCGGTCACAGTCTGCCATCATCAGTGCTCATGAAGATGCCATCGTATCCCAGTTTCACACTCGATCTCCCCAACTTGAGTGGTCATTCTCTTTCAGGCAGCTGCAGGTCATGCATAACCTCGGAATGAACTTTTAACATTTAGAACCATTTTTTTTTTCTGAAGTCTTAAGCTCCAGTACTTACTTTCTGATCACAGAGTCTTATCTTTCCAGGACTCTCACTTCCATCCTCCCAAATTCCTGTTCTGTGACCTCATGGAGACTGCAGGTCCCTGGGCACTTTCCTCCATTTCCTGGGGTCTATCAGCCTGTTCCTGCCTTCACCTTCTTCCCAGCAGAGAACAGACACATTGGTCCATTGTCTCAGTCAATCTCTTGCTACTATGATATTGAATTTACAGTCTAATACTGAGTTATTGCAGCAGCTTGTGTGTCCCCAACCAGCTGTCTCCCATTTCCCCAGGAGTTATTTTATTTTTTTAAAATGCGCCCTCCCACCAAGAGTTATTTTAAACATTCACCATTGTTCTCAATGCCCTAATTCCACAACCTGCTTGTCATCCTGAGAGAATGTTGAGGGGGCCAAATGAGAAATCCTTTCGTCTCCTGTGTTCCCCACTGACCAACATAATTCCCTCCCCTGCAGCTTTATAGGAAAAGTGTCCCTCCTCCAATGTAAAGCTAATTCCTTCCCATGTGCTCTGAATCCAGTACCTTCCTGTGTCCATACTCCAACAATTATTCCTTCCCTAGCCTGTATCCTCATACTTTCTTGTCCACTGGCTTTCCCCCCAAGCCTGGATACATACTTTCATCTTCCATCTTGAAAAGACTCCCTTTGTACCCTAGTATCTCTTTCTAGATGTGGTCTTGTCTTGCTCTTCCCTTTGAATTTAAATTCTTCAAAAAGAGCAGTTTACACTCTCCACTTACCCTCTTGCCAACCTAGTACAATTTAGCTCTTTTCTTTGTCAACACTATAATGGCTCTAGCAACCCTCCAGACTAAAAAAGTTAAGGATGCTAGTCAGTTTTAATCTCAGTTGACCTCACTGTGCTGTTTGCCTCTTGACCAGTCAGTCCCTCATTCTTGAGAGTTCTCCTTAACACCACACCTTCCTAAGTTACCTTTGAGGAGGATTCCTTTCTCTGTGAGTCCCCAGGCTCCCCCCACCTCACACCAGCCCTGTTCTCTACATAGAACCAAGTTTGTAAACTTCTTGAGTTAGAAACAGAACTTTTATTTCTAGGCAACTTAGTTTTACGGGGAAGAATGATGCATTTTGTTACAGCAAACTTCAGTTCTGCTGGTCTGAGAACACATTTTACTTCTGTGTTGTCCATTCTCATTAGTCATGGGAGCTGAAATGAGAATATATTATGTTCAACAGTTTTCCTAAACTTTAATAGCCTTACTCTTAAAATCTGTTTCTAGATAGCTTGTATTATGCTGACAGCCCAAGTTACGAAAGTTTAAAAGGCACAGGAAAAGCTGGGACACAGGAAGTACAGGATGTCATGAATTTGAAAGCACTGGTGGCAGAAGCAAAGCTGGGTGCACCCTCGCTGTGATTACTCAGCGTCTGGGTGTAGATTTTATAATAGCGCCTCTGTTTATCTCTGCAGAGGGCCTCAAGGGGGCTGCAGGAAATGTTAAAGGAGATTGTTCCTTGAACACAATGGTTGCTTAATAAATATTCATTGACTGAGAAGCAGAGACAAGCACTTGAGATTTTCAGAAATGAGGAGTTGTTCATGGAGATGTGCTGCAGGTTTTTCGTGTGGGTGGAAGTGGTAATGAGATGGTGGTTTTATGTGGAACACGCAGGACACAGAGGCAACTGGATGGAATATAATGCCATGAAAAACTTCTGATATGATTATGTCATAAAGTTACCTAGTGCCAAGGTCTCTTTAGTCTAGACCCAAGAAAATGTGATGCCCTCTAAACTTCTATTTCTTTTGCTTTTATTTTTTTTCAAATTGGCATCCATTTAACACAACTGAGCTTCTCTGAGCCAGGCTCTGGATCCCAGAGGAAAGGAGGCAGGATCCCTGCATTGGAAGAGCACATCATTTAAACATAGTACGCAATTGCTTCCCTGTGTGGTGTGACAGTCGCTGGTCTTGGGACAGTGGGGCTCAGAGAAAGGAGCCATTACTTGGACGTTGGAAGGAAAGGAAAGAATTTGAGGGAAGGTTTCTCAGAGAATGTAAGAGATGAGCTAGGCCATGAAAGTAAAGTAGAAATTTGCTGCCAAAGAATTAGCGTGTTAATGTGTGTGAGTTTTAAAGAGAAAGGCCTTATAAGTAGTAACTGACAAAGCATAAAGTGAGTGGTGAATCAACTATGATGTTGTTGAAGATTGTTTTCAAGAATTTGAAATCTGGTAGAAGTTATGCTGATTCACTGTCCCTGGGGCCAGAGGTTCTTCAGGTTGGTCTTTTTCTGAGGGAGTCAGGAGAAAATAAGGGAGAATTGAGTCTCCACATGGAAAAGGGAGTGGGAAGAGAAATTTCTATTTTCATTAGAAAGAACAGAATATGAGTAGTAGATGATAGAGAGAAGGGAGGAAGTCAAGTTTTTACTTTTGCATTTTCAAAAATCCCACAATAAATTTTTAAAAGACAAAAACTATCCTTCATTAGAAAAATGGAGAACTATATTGTGGTATAGTCATATAATGGAAAACTGTTTAGTAGGTAAAAATTAATGAACTACATTATCATCAACATGGCCCAATCTTAGAAATACAAGGTTAATTGACAGTAGCACATTTAGAAGACTATAGTATGAAAGAGTTTTTATAAAGTTCAAAAACAAGGAAAACAAAATAATATGCTGTTTAGGGATACATACATATGTGTGATAAGTCATAAATAAATTATTAATAAAGAAGGGAAAAAGATAACGTTCAGGATGGTGGTTACCGGTAGGGGCTGAAGAGAGCTTGTGAGGGTAAGGACTCACAAGGAATGTCAATACTATTGGTGATGTTCTAGTTCTTGGGTTGGTGGAAGGCTCATGGCTGTTAATTTATTTTATTTTATTTTTGTTCAGTTATTTTACTTCATAACTTACCTATCCATACTATACATATTTTTTCATGTATGCAAATAATTATAATTAAATGTATGTGGGAATACATTGCTTGAAGGATTTTGACCTGCTGCTTCTGCCCATCTGAGACTTTCCTCTGAGCTGTCACGACAGCACCAACGGTGGCCAGGAGAGTTGAGAGTTAAGAGTGCTGACGCCAAGTTACAGAGCATGAGACAGGATCCAGGATGATGTGAAGACAGAGCCAAGCTGTCAAACCAAGGTTGGAAACAAGTGCTGAGACCCTCAAGGGAATCTCAGGAGTTCTGGACCATTGCGAACCAAGGAGCTGAGCCCTGGCCATAAAGGGAGGCACTGTGGCTTTTGGGAACAGGCTATAGCAGGTATTTTTTCTTTCTCTAACCTTGCTGTCCAAAGATTCTGACACCCCAATCCAGCTTTTCTCACATGGGTCCCCACTTCTCAGTACAACCCTCTTTCCTTGCTTCCCCTGTAAATGCCAGTTCATGTTTACCACTGACTTTTGCTCATGCTATTCCCTCTGGGATGTCTTCCCTTCCTTTTTCTGTCATGGGTCTCTCTGAAGCCTTTTCTAACTGTTCTGATCCAAGCTCCTCCCTTCCTAGTTTTCTTTCTGTGGTACCCAGTCTGTACCGTATACTTCCACATTGCACAAGGACTGAAGCTTGTTCAAAAATGAATGAAAATGCATATAAAGTCCCTAGTGTTTAACATATAGGATATACTCAAAAGAGTTGCCTGTGTTGAATAACCCATATCAAGTGTTCTCTCCTGTGCATTAGCTCTGGTAGCCATGTCTGATTTTGCCTCCACATAAACCCAAAAGCAGAACTCAATCTCTCCAATTTCCCCTAAAGAATCCACTTGCAAAACTGCAGTGCTAGATAGCATAGCTTTTACTTTTTTGTGGGGAAGAAACCAGAAGGCGTTGACATGTCTCAAAGCAAGGAATTTAAAATCCGTATTTGACTGGTTGGTCCCCAAACCTCTCCTCAGCAAACCCCTGTCGCAGGGGCTTCTCTCCTGGGTGTTCTGTGTGCACTCAGCCTCAGCTTTCCATTGCCCTGGGTTTTCCCCTGGGAACCTCAAATTGTCATGCAGATTGATTTAGCCTGGCCCTATTCCCTGTCCCAGCTATGCAAACCTGTGTCCCTTTTGGTGCTCAGCAAACAGAGGGTCCTTCAGTTACCCAGATTTGATCTCCTTATGAGGTCATATATCCTGTGTTTGCAGTTTACTCCTATTGCCTCAGTGTAATTATTACTACTCTGCTTTGCACACTAACGAATTGGTTTTGACAATAAATTATATGTTCTAAGTGGTAGATAACTTTTCTCCCTTATGTAGCTAGTTCTTTAGACCCTACCTGGTTTCTCAAATGAGACTGATGGTTCTTTTAGATAAGGGACCCAATGTTCTATATATTTGCATCTATTTATTTATTTATTTTTAGAGAGATGGGAAGGGAGGAAGAAAGAGAGGGAGAGAATCATCAATGTGTGAGAGGAGCATCATTTGGTTGCCTCTCATGTGCGCTCTGACCAGTGACTGAACCTGCAACCCAGGCATGTGCCTTGACCAGGAATTGAACCAATAACCTTTTACTTTTCAGAATGTCACCCAACCATCTGAGCCACATCACTCAGAGCTGTTTGCACCATTTTTCTTGGTAGCTGCTCAATAGGTACTTGTTAAATTGAACAACATGCGTCAAAATGTATGAGCAAGCCCATGTGAGTGTGTTTGTGGGCAGCATGTTCATTCTGGGGAACTCTGGTGGGAGATCAAGTTGAATGAAAAAGGTGGGGCCTGCAAAGGGGAGGAGCTGCATGAAGATTCAATTAGATTGTGTGTGTGTCACAGGCTCGTGTGTACATGGACATAGAGAGATCTTAGTATAGTGATGTGGAGTAGGTATTCAGTGAATGTTAGTTTCAATCTTTCATATTTATACCTCACTAACTTTTTTCAGCTTTATTGTGATGTAAGTGATGTCTAAAATTGTAAGATATTTAAAGTGTACATTGAGATGATTTAACATATCTCACTACCTTTTTAATGTGACTTTACAGTTACCTAATATTGAGCAATTTCCAAAATGCTGGTGAAAACACTGTCTAATTTTAAGTATCGAAATCCCCATGAAGTGTGTATTATTATTATTTTTGTTTTACAGAGGGGATAATTGGGTCTAAGATAAAATAACTTTGTTTTCAAATCATCAATAGCTAGATTCTTTAAAAAACAATGTAAAATTTTACACAAATATCATTTATGGAAATGAAAAGAAAGTTGAGAAGCCAACCAATAAGAACTCAGTCATCTAGCAAATCAGACTGATTTTTCCACATTTCCTTCTAGTTCTTGTTATTATTCAAACATAATTTTAAGATTTTTTAAAAAAAGATTTTATTTATATTCAGAGGTGGGGAAAGGGAGGAAGAAAGTAAGGGAGAGAAACATCAATGTCTGGTTGCTTCTTGTGTGTTCCATACTGGGGACCTGACCTGCAACCCAGGCATGTGCCCTGACTGGGAATCAAACTAGCAACCCTCTGGTTCACAGGCCGGTACTCAATCCACTGAGCCATACCAGCCAGGCCATAATTTTAAGATTTTAATTATAGTGTCAAAACAATGTTCTTTTTTCACTGAATATTGTATCATTATATGTACTCTTTATATACTTTAATGATATATTATAATTTATGTAAATTATTTAGTGTTTGGATACTTAAAAAATATTTATGAATATAAATAATGCTTTAGGAAGCATCACTGGGACTCCATTCTGCTATCTTTTGTATCATCTTTTTGGGAGGAGGTCAGGGAGCATGAACATTTTCATGGCTCCGCAACAGGCAATTTGAAGATTAAAAAAAAAATGTTTGATTGTAGCAAAGGTGCCCAAAGTCTTTATAGATTTATTTATTTTTGTCTCATAGTACATAATTCTGTGCTCTTTTATCTAATGGGGTCTTAGTGTTTTTGTCTATCAACATGTGTGGGCATTTATATGACATAACAACTGAGTATTTGCTTGTCCCATGGTATCTATGTCCCAGAGAAGAGATACAATTGTGAACAAGATAGTACGGTCTTTAATGTTAAATTACTGTATTGGGAATAAGAAAGGGTACGACTAGAGAAAGGGGAATCAGAAGGGTACAGGAAAAGGAAGAGAAAGTGATGTTGATAGCCTGAAATAAGATCATAGTGAAAATAATAATGTCTTGCATTTGTATATTATTTTCCAGTTTATAGAATCTATTATCTTAATAGGTTAATAAAATCTGTGATCTCATTTTAAAATGAAGAGAAAGGATGGATCCTATGAACACTGCAAAGAAAGAATGAGTGGGACTTGGTGACCATTTATATTGTTAAATAGTAAAAATTCAACTGAGTAAATTTGAAGATCTAATTGGCTTTATGCAATGAGTTATGAATCAGGCAGCATCCAGTCTAGCAAAGAGTAAGAAGCTCCCTGAGTTGTAAAAAAGGAATGTTTTCGAAAGCTATAAAGAGGGTGGAAAAAGGAAATTATTAGCAGAGAATGTATTGTTTGTCAAAGTTGCACTCCTACAGGGAACAGAAAGGGTCTATCAGCGTATTGCCTCCTAGTTCTGATCAAGAAATTAGATTAACTGGTTAAAATTACATTTCTGGGAGAGGCGGAAACTGCAATCAGGTTAGGTATTAATTCTTGGTTCGCTAATGTGGGGCCTGACCCAAATGACTCTATTTTAGGCCTATTGTTTTATTTTAACAATAAAAAGTAGTGAGGAAGGATTTCAGTGGTTCAAGGTGGATCAAGTTCAATTATCTTGAGTAACTATGTACTTTTTGATGAAAAAATGTTTTTTGTGTTTGTTTTTTTTTGCCAATGTCATGATTCTCACCTTATAGGTATGAATTCTGCCCTTTTGTAAATTGTTTAGTGTGCATACATGAAAATCAATTTCTTTGAGATTAGGCTGGCAAAATTCAGGAAGTCCAGCCAGGAAAACATCTAGCTCAACTTCTTATATAACACTTAAAAAACACAATGTCTTTTTACAAACTCGATGTATTGATGAATGTATTGAAATAGATGGTTTTGACAGAGTTAGTCATGGGTCACATTGTTCTGGGCAGAGATACCACAAAGCATCATTAGAATTAAAGAGATGTCTTTATTTTTTTAAAAGAAACTATTTATTTATTTAAATTGAAGTGGAGTTGACATACACTATTATATTAGTTTCAGATGTACAACATAGTGATTCAATATTTATATACCTTATGATATGATCTCCACAATAGGTCTAATAGCCATCTATCACCATAGAAAGTTATAACGATATTGTTAACTATTTTCACTATATTGCATATTACATCACCATGATTTATTTTATAATAGGAAATTTGTACCTCTTATTTTCCTTCACTGTTTTTATCCACCCACACCTCTGTCCCCTCTGGCAACCATCAGTTTGTTTTCTGTATCTAGAGTCTGTTGCTGTTTTGTTTTTTCAATTCCACATATAAGTGAAATCATATAGTATTTGTCTTTCTCTCTTACTTATTTCACTTAGCATAATATCCTCTAGGTCCATCCATAATGTCACAAATTGTTAATTTTCATTATTTTTAATGGCTGAGTTGTATTCTGTTCATATATTTATCATCTCTTCTTTATTCATTCATCTATTATTTGCCACCTAGGTTGCTTCCATATCTGGACTATTGTAAATAATGCTGCACTGAATATAGGGGTGCATATATTTTTTAATTAATGTTTTAATTTTTTAAATAAATACTCAAATGTGAAATTGCTGGGTCATATGGTAGTTCTGTTTTTAATTTTTTGAGGACCCTTCATACTGTTTTCCACAGGGGCTGTGCCAATTTGCAACCCCACCAGCAGTGCACAAACATTTCCTTTTCTCCACATCCTTGCCAACACTTGTTGTATGTTGATTTTTTGATGATAGCCGTACTGACAGTTGTGAGATGATATTTCACTGTAGTTTTGATTTGCATTTTCCTGATAATTTGTGATATTGAGCAACTTTTCATATGTCTGTTGGCCATCTGCATGTCCTCTTTGGATGTTTAGCTGTTCTAGACTTTTTCAAGTGCAAGTCCTTTCTTGTGTTTTTTGAATCCATTTGGTGGTTGGTTGACCTATTTTGTTTAGTTAAATCTCAGCATTCCTTTTGAGGCTTAGGGACATAAACTGAAAGCTCAAAAGAAGAAAAATCTCCCTTAGGGGAAGTAATTGTACTTTAGTACAGAGCCATTTGCATGGAAACTATTGATTTGCCTGCTCCAAGGTACAGGCTGTTTTCCTGGGTTAGCTTTGAGCCTGCTTCCACCTG